GGGATCATGACCTGAGCCGAAGGCAAACACTTAACGACTGAGCCACCCAGGCGCCCCGTTCAGTTGGCATTTGATGCTGTTTTTCTCCCAGCTCTGGGTTTTATCCTTAAAGGTCTTCAAAAGGTTACTTTTTCATAGGTTTAGAACAGTACTTCATTCTTGCTTAATATGCTTGTCTATTTTTTACCATTTTATTTAAGAACAATTTATTTTTTAACATCAAGTGGGAGTTGTTAATAGAAGAAACTATTCTTCTTAAACGGAAGCAAAAGGATGAACTACTTTATTTTATATATGAAAAATAACTTCTAAGAAGTCTGATCTGTACATTTTATTGCTTTCTTGAAATATAGGTATCAATTATTTCTCAGTAGCTTCTGACATTGGGAATCAGCTTTTTAAGAAATTTGCTTTATAGGGCTGGATTCACTCCCTGGAAATATTCAGAACTCACTTCTTGACGAGGAGAAGGTACACTCTGGCTCGGAACGTGGCTCTCATCAAGGAAAGAAATCTGGGACCAGTAGCAAACTTTCTGTTAAAGATTATGAGCAGACTCTTGACACTGATAGCATTTTGGAGGATCTTTCTGGGCATTCTATGAGGTAAAGTAATGTATATTTTGTACCTGTAATTCATATTTAATTAAAGTTATAATATCATTGATGTTCAGAGAATCCATTCAATAAATTGCTGTATTTTCTGAATAGACTTGGTAGTTTTGTTCATAGTTTGGGTCTTTATATTTTAAAATATGGTCATCTCTCACCTAAACTATTACAGCCTCTCTCAGGAATACTTTGCCTCTAGCACAATCCACCTTTCTATTCTAAATGCCATTGCCACTGTTGTTACCTTGAATCAATCCTTTGACCAAGAAACTGCTCTCCTTAGGGTATCCTGGGAGCTCACAGCTACTCTGTAGATGAACTCCCAAGAACTTAGCTTTATTTCCTTTATCTATACATTTCTTCTCATCTGTGTTCATCCACTCTTTCAACACAACTACTTAGCATCCTTTTGTCTCATCTGTTTCTTCCTGTGAACTTTTCTCTCCTCAACTTATTTGTTGACTCAAGCAGATTTTGAAATCTCACTCTTATAATGATTACAGAGAGCTTGCATACTCTTTTTTTTCCTTCTTTTTAATTATCATACAGTATTATACACTGAGTCTGTGGCTTATATATGACATTTTGTGATTGCTTCATATGCAGTTTCTACTCCTTTGTCTGCATGGCTTTTTATCTATTGCACTAGTTTTGTCCTTCTGGAAATTTAAGCTATGAGAAGACATGGATTTATTTTTTTCTTTTAAAACTAACTGTTTGCTTTTTCTAGTACAGAGTCACATACAGATAATCAATTTTAATGCTTTCATGTTGTAAATCTTACATTGTTAATTCCATCATTGCTATGTTTAAAATTGAATTTTAATTTTTTTGTCAGAAAACTTTACCTTTCCTTAGAGGTATTCATGATAATTTATTTGGCAAAATCTGCAAAGTTAAACATTTCTAAAACAGAATCCACAGCCAAATAAGTTTGATAAATGCCCCATACTATAGAATAGACTTCCCCCACCACCTTCCTCACCTATAATTTAAGGCTTTGATGAAGAGGTGTTCACATTTTTAAAAAAATAATTAACGTATTTTTTTCTTTACTTATTTGGCTATAGTCACTTTCTGTCCCCAAGCGCTTTAGTTTTCTGTCCTTTTTATTTTTTGGAGAATTTATGAACATCGTTGGAAGCATAGTTTTGGAAATGCTAGTCTAGGTGAATCTTCTTTGCAGAGCAAATACAAATTCAGTTTGTAAAACCACAAGGTGAGATTCAGGCAGAGTACTTGGGTTTTGATACTGTGTTGGAATTCTTTCTTGGAAATCTAGTAAGAGACAGAAGTAATAAAATTATTTTTCTGTTCCATAAATGAGGTTGTCAGACTATTAGAAATAGTAGTTCTCTAAACCATCAATAGTAAATTAAAGGTCACTGTAAACAAGTGAGTATCTCTCAAGACTACTTTTATTCAAATACTTATATGCTGGATTTAAGAGAAATGTCTATCTTTGAAAACTATCTCCTGGTTTTATTAAAGCTAAAAGTAAACTTGTTTTACTATGTGAAAAATATGTTAACTGGGCTAACTTGCTTTATGAAGTATCTTTAAGTAATTTATTCAATAAATGAATGTTTAGTGCTTGGCAACATCTTTTTGTTATGAGAAACAGTAACTTTAATAAGTCTAATTTCTCAGAGAGGGGCTAGGCATGTGCCTTGTATTGAAATAAATACATTAAGAGTTATTATAATCAGACTGCTTATGAGAGGTTACTTATTAGAAAGTGCAGGAAAGAACTATAACATTAAAAGATAGATGAAAACAAATTACATATAAAGTACTTAGAGATGGTTAGTAGGAAAATAATTTTTTGCTGTGACTTTTTGGGTTAAGAGGAATAACAAAGGAGTGGATTTTGTCATTTCTTAATTTTTAATACAAAATGATAACTTTATTCTCTTTCAGAGATAGATTTTAAGACATTTTTTATATGATAGGCTTGACCTTACCTTTTATATATGACTATAATTTTATTGCTATATGAGGTTTATGTATTTTAGAAGGTTTTGCCTCATACTGTAATAAGTGATTCATTGTATATGAACGTTGTAGAAGAAAGAGTTAAGTGCCAATTTAATTGAGACTCCTTTTCTATTTTGGGCAGGGTTTGTGCCTGGCTCATTCACCACTGTAAGTCTAGCAATGAGAGCCATACTCAGTCATTCATTCAACATGGCAACTATGTTGAATTATTAAATGCCTGAATCACAGCCTTTTAAATGTCAATAAAGAATGTAATGCATGATGTTCTTATGAATTGTTTAGCTGTCTCTTGAAGTAGTTTTCCTTTCTCTAACGTCTTTATGAAACAAAACTTCTAGTGTCTCATCAGACAAGGGAAGATCTCAGAAAACTCCAACTTCTCCTCCGTCTCCAAGTTCCCAGAAATTGTTGCAGTTTGACCTTCCAGGAACTTCATTAGAAAGATCTAAATCCTCGGTAATAACGCCTCCTTCTATAACAGGATTTAAGCCTAATGCACCTTTTACCGATATGAACCTTGCTGCCAGCAGAACAACTACAGAGATGGCCTCAACACCAGGCAAGTAGATCTATGCACTTGTAATTTAAGATACTACTTTTGTCCCTTAAAATCCATTTTATTTCAGTCGAACTGTAGGGAAATGTTATCCCATCAAGTGAATGTGATTACTTTTTGAAGTATTCAAAATTGTGCAGGAAAAGAAATATTGAAAAGCATGACAGATTCAACAGTGGTGATTTTTCCCCTTTTGCCAGCCTGAGTCAGAACACACCTGGAAAATAGACACCATGCTAATTAAGTCACTGTCTTTCATGCAATGGAAAGCAAACTCTTTTTGGTTCTTAAAATGAAAAATGAGTTTCAAAAATCTGAGAGGTCGTTTCTTTTACATTTGACAGTTGCTTATGCCTTCCAGGTTCTAAGCGCTTTTCTCCTGCTGGCCTCCAGCATCGTATGGCGGCAGAACTCAGTTACCTGAGTGCCATTGAGGAGTCAGTGCGCCAGCTATCAGATGTGGAAAGAGTTAGAGGCATATCACTTGCTCAGCAGGAGAGTGTATCTCTGGCTCAGATCATAAAGGTATTTTTGGAGTTTTCTTCTTTAGCTTTCTGTGTTTTTTCTCTTTTCTTTACTATTTAAATTAGTTTCAATGATGAGGTCAAAAACCAAAAACCAGCACACAAAACTTTAACCTGCTAAGTAGAAAAAAATAGTCTTGCCATACGGCACCTATAAATAACCCTGGGGAAAACTGTCATATAGAGTACTAAAAAAGTTAAACATAGAATATTTGACAGCAGAACAGTAATTCAGCCATTTTCTCTCAAATATTTCATTTTCCTCATTCTTTATTTTTTTTATTTTTATTTTTTATTTTATTTTTTTTAAAGATTTTATTTATTTGTTTGCTTATTTATTTAAGAGAGAGGGAGAGCGTGAGCATAAGCATGAGCCGAGGGAGAGGCAGAGGAAGAAAGAGAGAAGCAGACTCAGCTGAGCAGGGAGACCAATGTGGGGCTCGATTCCCAAGACCCTGGGGTCATGACCTGAGCTAAAGGCAGATGCTTAACAGACTGATCCACCCCAGCACCCCTCATTTGGCAATCTTTTAAAGTAGGGGCACATATTTCCTTTGTGTATGGGTCCCTTGGTTGGAGTTTAGGTCTTTCTTGCATAGACCTTTGTATTGTCTACAATTTCTCGTTGTTTGAAATCAAGAGCAATTTTAAATTGTGTATTTATTTTCAAAGGTTAATATTAAATGAGTAAAGAAATGCATTTTTATTATGAAAAAATTAGAGATACCCAGTATTAACAACTTGCTTTTAGTCTAGGGATTACAAATAGATTTTAGATTATAGGGTCCATTCAAACTGATTGATAATCCTTTAGATTATTTGTGTGTCTCCCCCCACC